CTCGCGAAGATCACCGATATTGCTGGCACGCGAAATCACTGAATCGTTCGTACATACGGTTCGAATAGGACGGCGCTCGCGACGACTCATCGAGCCGAGAGAGCCACGTAGAAAAACGGGCGTGAGATGATGAATCGCGCGAGAAACGACACGGCGAGAAAAACGTGCTCCGTTTTCCAAGGGTGATCGCGCGACTCCGGAAAAATCCGGTCCGTGCTTGATCTCGCTCGCGGAACTCCTGACCGTGCACGTCAGCTGTGCGTGCCACGTTTCGAACGTTCGCCGATTTATCATTCTGACTCTGGCGCCCGCTGTTATGCCGAGAGCTTACGGTATAGCGGTGAGGGTGGGGCGCCATAATCGAAGGATGATTCTCCGGTAACGGCACTTCCGCCTCCGACTCCTTGAAGCTGAACGACGACCATCAAGTTAAAATGCAATATTCTCGATTCTCCCATTATATTTGCCTCGTTTGATTTAATATCGTTACGAATTGATTTATGACAAGCTGATTATTCTTTGAAAACGGGTTAAAATGAATGAGTATCAATTCTCGGTGATACCAGTAAGATCCCCGCGACAAAATTACATTCAAGTACAAAATTTAATAACATATCTTGTTCGTTGTTGTCAAAGCGATAAGCTTCCCCAGCTGGAATTTTTTGATTAATATTCCGCGGTTTTAAAGAGAGTTGCACAGAAAAAAAGAAGATACAGAAATCGCTCTTTTCTTTCTCTTTAATGAAAGAGGTCGTCACGCAAACCACCTGACGAAATCTGCAAATAAAAGATAATCAAACATCAGGCTAAAACTTTGAGCACTCTTGAGGATACTGCAAAAGGGATTGCTTATTTAAGAATAACAGGAGGTGTCTCTCTCTCTCTCTCTATCTATCTATGCAAAGAACCGAAATTATCTTAACCGAAAGTCCAGGCAGTCGTTTAGATTCAAGATAACACTTCGGCAATTTTGTTGTTCCGCAACTTAATTGAATACTGTAAAGAAGTAATTGCAGAACGGCACGGTATATCAATTTTGCGAATAAAAACCACTTCAAAGTCTTTGTTGAGCAGAAAATTACGCACTTAACAAAGAAACGGATAGCTACGTAGATAAAATTACTGTTTCAAATTGCTACGCCACGTTACTATTGTTTTTATTTTAACGTTTTGTGTCAATGAACACAACTGTCACCGCTAGTATATACGTTTTACAAACTATATATAATACACATTAGAGATATTAGAAATAACGCATGAAAATCAAAATAAAAAAATAGTGAGAGGGAGGAGTAGAAAATCAACACGTTTTTAAAGACACGTGACTAAAAAGTACAGTTCCGTGACTATAGTCACGTGTTGTTTTTCCTCTTCTCACTGTTACGTGACTATTTTAGTTACGTTTTTAAAGACACGCGCAACGAAGTCGAACGGCGCGAGAGACAGTACCGTGCCTCTTGATTTATACGACATAAATCGAGAAACACATCCGAGAAACGTTCAATCAGCGTCGAGATAAAAGCGGCACCAATCAAGGTCGATAGAATTGATTGTGATTATTTACACACGCTTTTTCTGATAGGATTGCACCGATATGATAGACATTGAAATGTGAAAGTTATCAGAGTTGTTGTGCTTTACGATCACAAGAGAATCGTAAATTGTGTTTAATTAGAGGATTGTCACAATTTCTCTTTTTCTCTCTTTCTCATAAATTCTTATTTCGCGAAAATACTTTCTCTCGTGTCACTAACCAAAACCATTAAACATTAAAAATAATTCGATTGTTCGCGGGCGCGAAAAGTCGCGAGATTTTTTCGTTAATTTCGACATCGCTCGTTTTCATCGGATCTTGCAAATTTCACGCGGTTGACGAATATTAAGCCTTCGCGCTCTTGAACGAGATAGAAACCGCTGCCATCCAATCTCTATGCAGATGCGAGACGAGCACGTTGGGAAAAAAAAATGTGCCGTCGAACAGCAGATAAAGGGGAAGCAGTCGTCCGATTTCGGTGAGAAGAGCCGTTTCGGCACATTTCCTCATTTCTTCTCGCGCTTTTCGGCGTTGCAAATTTATTTGCCGTGCTTTCGTCAGCTCGAGAAGCTTTGAACCCGCTTTGAAAGAGAATAAATTGGAAAAAAAGAAGAAATTTTGTTGCTTTACGGGATAAAAACACTACAAAATAACGGCTCACAATTGTGTAATATATTCATGTGCTACAATATGTACAGAATTATTTAAATATTTTGGACTCTTCTGCTTGAAAAATTCAATGATTGTACGTCCACGTATATATTTTTAAACGAGACACACAAATGTGTGATAATAGGATCGAGATTTTGATGTGCGATTAAATAATTATTTTAGAGAAAGATGTGTGTTTACTTTTCATTGCATTCATGTGATATACGTAGATATAAATTTAGGAATGGGAGCAATATATAAGAACGGTATAATCTTACAATTGCTTAGATATTCCGTATCAAGGTTTCTCATGCAATATAACGCGCGTGCTCTCATAAATAGCACGCGTCTCTGACACCTAAACCAGATAACCGGTGTTAATAAGTAACGAAAACCTGGAAACACGCTTGAATGTTCTTCGTTATTCAAAAGATTTATTTTTGTGTCGAGATGAAAAATAATCAGTGGGAGTTGAATCGAATTAATGACGAACGACAGCTCTTTTATGATAAATATGCAAACGGAATTGTTTATAACGGATTTGCACATACCCCGAACACAAGAAATATCTCGAATGGTAATGGAAGTTTCAACAAGCGACTGATTGAAAAAGTTATGGCGAGGCTGTTAATCGATCTTATCGGAAATAAATTCTTGTTGCCAATCGTATTGTTACGAACACAAATATATATATTCTCAAAGATGATTGATTTCGTTTCAAATTGTTAAAGCAATGATTTTAAGACAAAATACATCGCAAGAAAGTTTATTATTTGAAACATTAATATATAATTTTTTTTGTGATAGAGATTCCTCCATTCGCTTTTACGAACAGAGTTTAGTTTCGACTGCGTAATCTCATTTTTATCCAATTCGAGATAATCATACGCCCGTTTGCGCGTTAATGGAAGGCCGAGCGATAACGATCAGTTTTTCACCATCGAATTGATGAATCGAATAATTGGATCGGGTTCAAAACCTTAAACGTGCCAAAAGTTTCGTTTTGTATCAAAGCGTGCTCGTTATATCGATACTATGGATTTTCGACGGAGAAACAAGAGGGAAAGAAAGAGAGAGTGATTGATTGACTGATTGATCATGCTTTAATTTTTGAGCGCTCTGGGAAAAATCCTTTTAAATTCCGCAACATGTAAATAAAAAAGAAACAAAACAATTCAATTATACATGAAAGTATATCAGAGAAAAAAAAATAAAAGTGAATACATAAAGAAAAATTTAACAATAGCAAAAGTAATAATACAAATATAACAAAAATAATGAGAGAGAGAAAGAGAAAAATAGAAAGACAGAGAGAGAATGTGTGTGTGTGGGTGTGTGTATGTGTGCGCGACAGGGAACGCGTCTCTCACGAGAGACGCGTACGAACGCAGACCTGTCACATCCGATAACACAGCTAAATGTTAATTAATACGTCGTGATATATGCAATTGGCACTAATTTGAAGGCCAAATTGGAATAGCCGATGGTGCGCTAAGGGAGAGAGAGATGCGAGAGCGCGTAATAATGCAGTGCCTGCAGTGAATGCATCTTGGCCCGGAGGCATCGAACGTATCCCGATCCCGTTCCGTCCCGTCGTGCCGACGGGAGTAGTCGGTTACCTCGAAATCGAGGAGACTTCGGAGGCCGTTCGCGCTATCGCGTGCACAGAGAACATTTAATTACAGACGATCATTCGAGATCCCATTCTCCGCTACACTAAAAGCTACACCAAATTCAATACGCCGGAAAATAACTATCTCGCCGTCCGTTCGCTGCCAAAAGCAGAAACGACCAATGTATTTGGTGATGACTGTTGCTGTTTGCCAACTATGATCGGAGACAACAACAACACGGGATCGTGTGTTCTTCCTGCTTCCCGCCGACTCTTTCGTTTCATCGCTTGTAAAAGGATATTTAGAAGGTAAACAACACAAGTAAGAAAAAAATGTCGGGATCGATTAAAAACGATCGAGCGATTTTTAGATTAGTTGCATTTATTATGTTTCAAGCATTAAAAGACGGAGATTTGACTTTCAATTATGCAACTAATATTAGTGTTAGCCGCGCTCTATTCATATCGGTGGAAGAAAAGAAGACAAAGGTATCGCCTTGACGACAGGATTTTTTAGTGGAAAGAAGACAAAAGAAATTTTTGAATCGGGAGAATTGGAGTGCGCGTCAGTTCGCGACTATTCATAACGGGGGCGGTTGTAACGCTATTACAGCCGCGTTTGAATATATTTCTCTGATCCTATTTTGACTACTTTCGCGGAGAACAAGGAGTCAAATTTCCGCAAATTTTCAAAATCCCTTTTGTACATCCGGGAAAACTTCTCTGCGGCGAGGAGAAGGTGGAAGCTTGCCGAAGGTTCTCCGGTGAACGAACGTGCAAGCTTGCAGAAGACTCCGTAGCCAATTTGCGCGGACTCATCTCATAAATCCGACATCGCCGGGTTCGCCGAGAAGTAAATAACGTCGTTCGTTATAGCCGACTTTGGAAGAGTGTCAAGAGCGATCCCTTTGGCGCCGCATCGACGTCTATGCTCAAAAGAAATGCTTATCTTTTACAAGATTTTCACATTCGGGGCGAGTCTTTTGTTGTCAATTAGATACACACAATTTCAAACATTCGAAATAATATTGCAATTTTTGACGCGGAGGCGTCAAAGAAACACGTTGCACAACAAGCTTTTTATTCCTACACTTTCGTCGTTTCAAAAAATTGCAATTGCATCAAATGTTCGAGTCGCAACTCGTTAGTCTAGAACTCTTGAGTGAAAAATAATAATAAGAATATATAAGTTATGTTACTTACGATGCACCATTCGTCCGAGGGTGGACATTCCTTCAGCATGTGTGCGGTGTAATTAATGCACGGTGTAATGCTACCAACTCCCTCGTTGTACTGTCCGCATTTGTAACATCTAATACCGTGCGTGACACCTGTGACACACAAACAATATTTAATTGCCACGGTGCAAAAAAGTGCACACCGCTAAATGTATCGCGAGAATGTTAGTTCGAGACAGAAAGCGCAAAATATCGAGCAATCTACGAAATAGCAATCCACAAGTCGTGAGATAAAAACTGCATTTTTCTGACTGCGTTTTAGACAAGACCAACGGGGGAAGCAATTCGCGAGACTGCGCGTCAAAGCCCTACCGATCGTTCTGCAGTTTGCGCGATCCGATTAATTCGCGGAAAAGAGCTGCAGCTTTCGAAAATTGATAGAACCCATAAAACTCACTTAATCGCGCCTCGTAAATGCGAAAACTCGAGACGCCTTTTCAGGCAACGCCTGCACTTATTCCGCTCACCGATTTGCGCGTCCCCGGTAGTCTCGTTTCGCGAACTTTAGATCCGATGACGCGAAGACGCCGAGAGAGATTTTACTGCGATTTTTTGCGCCAAACCGATCGAAAGTTCTTTGCCGGAGTGAGTACAATGCGCGCCCATAAAATCGGAGATTTACGAGGACGGCGCGTGCGCGCCAAAGCTTTGATTCCAGACGAGATGCTGAACGAAAGATTCGCTTGCTAGATTGAACTCGCTCGCTTTTGATCAACAATAATTTTAATACGTCTACCAAATCGTTGATGTACTATTTTTTTCTTGCAATTTTTTATTACTCAAACTCGGTGACAAAATTGATTTTTAAATTGAAACATTTATCAGAATGTTCGCAAATTCAAAATATCTCATACATGTCAAGATAAAACTCTCTTCGCTCTCTTATGAATAACTTGTAAAGAAAGAATATATAATTGATGAAGGTAATAAAGCGTTTCACGAGTAACAAATTCACAGTAGGTCTTTCACCGAACTTACGTACTTCCTAACACATTGAGAAAGAGAAAGAGAGAGAGAGAGAGAGAGAGAGAGAGAGAGAGAGAGAGAGAGAGAGAGAGAGAGAAAGAGAGAGAGAGAGAAAGAGAGAGAAAGGAGACTCTCGGTGCACGGTTCCCTTGAGAGGTGAACCACCGTGGAAGCTCGTTAGAACTTTATGAACTTGCAAGTTTATTGAGGCTGATGTTTCGTAACGTCGTTCGCTGCGGCGTTGCGGCTCGACAGGTGTTGGGATTGTCCGTTTGGGCGCATTCGCTTGTATGTACGTCACATCGCGTTAAACCGGAATTACGAAATAAACGGCGAAAATGATCCGGTGCTATTTTGCAGAAAAGAGGATGACTTATAATTTTAATCGCGCGTATCACCTAACAGCGTATACGAAATAGCCTGGTTATTGTATCGGACCTTTTCTAACTCGTGTAAACAAAAGTGCTCGCGTACAACGTGAAACGTAAAAGTTACGGTCCGGTTATTTCGCAAACCGCTATTTTCTTTATTGGTCCACCGTCAGAACCGATGTAAAACAGAGAGCGCGCGCTCTCCGGGAACGAATCGTATCTCGAGCGAATGTAATCGTGTAAGCTACATACCGCAAAAGTGATCCGCCAGCAAGAAACGGGATCAATCTGGCGGCAATGCCATTACAAGCGAAACCGCGAAAGCATCCAAAGCGAGAGAAAACGGCGGAAACCTCGCCTGCTGGCGAGGAGACCTTTTTGCCGAGCTTTTCGCCGGTGTGTTTTCCTCTATTTCCAATAAAATACATTTTTGTCGCATCTCCCGATTCTCGAATATTCGCCGGAATTGACTCGATAAAGAGGTAACTTTCCAATTTTCCTGCAAATCGCCCGTTTGGAATTCGATACGCAATCTACCAAATCTCTAGCCCGATACTGTCTCTCCCCCGCGCGCACCACCGCCATAATCTCCCAGAGTCTATCCTATGGTTTTATTTTTATCGATAAGAAATTTGAAATTTAGAGGGAGAGAACACACTCGGAATAATCTATATAACCCGCGAAATAAAACAGAAATCCCATTCGCGCTCGGTGGCTGGAATAGCAATTTATGCGCGACACGAAAGCGCACGTTTTGTCCTTGTCGTAAAGTAAAATTACGCGATCAACGTTAAACAGAAATGAGATTACAACGTTGTGTATGTACGAGCGTTTTGTTTGCGCGGAATGACGAATATCTCTCGTGGCGTGTATCTCGAGAATGCATAAAAAAATCCCGCGAAATCTGCTTCGTGCGCGCTCGCTCAATAATGTGTGCGCGCGCGCGCTCGCTCGCTCGCCCGCATATCCACACGGATGCGGATTGCATCGACCTAACAATCTCACGTCGCGCTTCTCGCGAGCGGGGACACGTAAATTCGACCCCGAGACTCTCTTTCTCGTTTTCGGTGTAGGAAGAAAAATATTGGCACTAAATTTCCTCGCGGGACACAGACGTGCTCCTGTATCTTCCCGCACGTTTGTTCGCTCGCGCGCGCGAGAGTTTGGATGATTTATCTCGCCGCTTATTTTTTCGTCTCGATGTGTATGTGTACACGTGTGCGCCGCCGCCTCGCTCGTCACGCGCGATAGAATCCGCATTTTCACCGGACACGGGGCCCGGCAGTATCGATATCGCGGCCGAAAACGTGCGGAGATGTACATTTTGCCGATGTCATTATTTCGAGAGCGGTAAAGAGGAGAAAGGAGGAGAATGTATAGGAGAGTGTACGTGGCGGATCGCGCACCAGATCGGTTGCCGAAACCGCGTTCGATAACGCCAGAAATTGAACGGATGTTCCACACAATTTTGCAAACCTCGGAAAATTAATTGCCTTTGTTATTGCGTAACGGTACGGTATTCAAATTCGCCGATTTCGTATGTTTTGAATATTGCGTCAATTAATTGTGCGGAATACTTAAAAGCATATTAAGTAAAACAGCTGAAAGTGAATTGGTTAAAATACCGAGCAGAGATGTCGTTATTTATGATCGCACACGGCGCTTTATACATTACACGTAGTATATCTCGATTATGTCGATGCACCGTGTGTGTAAGCAACACCGTTGCCGCGCTCAGCTATTTTGCGACATAATTTTCATGTAATTTGTTGGCTATTGTGACATCACTTTGCCATTAACTATTCGATAACTAGGTGTAGGTGGCGGAACTGCGACGCACATTCTCCGCAAATTCATCAGTCATATTACTCGAACTAAAGGAGAGAGAGAGCGGATGGTTAATGCACGATGTGATAAAGTAAACCACTCAATGTTGCCACTTTGCAACTTTGCCGGCAAATATTTGTCTTCGATTAAGCATAGCTCGGAGTGCATATCTCTGGCACGCGACTACAGTTTATCATCAAACGTGTAAGTACCACATGTGTAAGGAATAATTTCGGGTCGCAGATCTTTTGAAAATTTATTACTCTGATTTTCTGAGATCTAAATATAATTTTCTTTCTGAAGAAAAAAGAATGAAGAATATTATTCGGAAGAACACACAACGCTCTTCGATCATCCTCTTTGGCATCTCTTGTAAAATTAAAAACAAAATCTGGCTGCTTCGTAATAAATAGTTTGACTGCTACATATTGATCGTGTGGAACGATAACGATTAAAGGTAATATCGCTTCCAACCCTACGGGTATAACTTTGTTTACGTAAATGCGACCGCGGCGGTTGTCAAATATTCGCTTTAGCAATCGTCGACAATGGAATTCGCACAGCCCGCTCCTCTGTTTCGAAAACAATTTAAACTTCCTTGCCTCGAGTGAACTCGAGCGGCTATCGAGGAAGAACTCGACCGACGAGAAGCAAAGTCCTGACGAAGTCGTTACGCTTCCGCTTGAATTTTGTTCGTTGCCGATGAAAACGGTAATCGTTAATTCTTCTTCTTCCGTCGAAGCGCGAAGTTAAGGGTGTTATGATTTCACAAGAAACCAAGTTTCTTCCTTCAAAATTATCATAATCGCTAATAAAATTGTTTTTTTATCTAGTTAATTAATTTGTCAAGTTACTCTGTAAGATTTTTACATTTCACTCGCTGTCAGCATTAGAAAACCTTTTCTTTTTTTTATAATTTTACGTGCTTTTCATTTTAATATCACAAGATATATTTAACATTAAATATATTATCATATGTAATATTATATATTAAATATATTATATCTTGAGCTCTTTTGAACCCGAGAATCAAAACTATTTGCAATACTTGCTTTTCTGGAACACGATAAAAATGCAATAGGTTACTCGGATCATATCCATATATCCGATTTAAAAGAGGAAAGACTAATACCGTAGTAAAAGTAGTAGAACCTTTTTTCGGGCAAAGGAAGTTCTCGCTATTCAGGGATCGAAGCTCGTAGCGAATAACGTTATTACCCTACACTGCAAATCCATGTGTGTTACTTTAACACATTTTTTCTGTGTAATTTTAAGATTACACGCTTATCCGTGTTATTTAAACACACATAAGTGTGTAATATGATAATTTTATGCAGATCGCATGTGTGTTAAAATGCGTAAACATCTAAAATGTGTAATAAAATAAAACATATAAGTTTTAGACATGTTAAAATAAAACATATTTCTCCTTTTACACGTTTGAACAGATAAACGTTTCAAAATTAAAACACTTCAAAAAATACACATCAAAATTGTCGTTGTCTCTGCGTAGAAAGTTGCGCGCGCATCAATCTTTCTTTCTCGCTCCTTCCAGAGTACAGAGATATGTTAGGACAAGTACAGCGCGGCGGAAAGAAGTGTGCTGACGTGCAATATATGTTTAATGTGATTTGTGAAAATTTAATATATTTTTTATTTAATATGAAGAAGAAAGTGTACTGTTTAATCGGTGAACGTTGTAAACGCATTCACGTTTTCATCTAAAAAATATATCTCTGACGCTCAAATTGTACGTGCAACTTTAATAGAAGCCAGCAATAACGATGTAGTGTTATTTACAATCAATGATCAACAACAAAGAAATCATTTTACAAAAGTTTGATGCCGATCGAAATAATAAATTATGTGATATTGAAGAAAATGATGAAATTGAAGACAAAAGTGAGGTTAACGTACTTTTTTTGTATG